ATCCTGGGGTGTATTTCAAAAGCTTCCCAAGCTGACCTCATCATAAAGATGGAGTGGAGAGCCACTGGGCTACACTCTAAACTTTCAGTGTGGACAATTTCTAGTTCTCAAAGGCTAAAATATTATGAAACAGAGTCCCACACCCGTAGAACAATCCTAGTTTTTCCTTGCCTTTGGGCACCTAGAGAAAATAGATGCTATTGATGACAAGCTGGATGCTGAAAAAATGTTCAGTCTGAAAATATTCCCTGGCTGTGGGCCAAAGAGTGTCCAGGGAGCAGTTGGACCAAGGCTTTATCGGGGAGTGACATGGCCTCCTCCCTGGTCTACATCCCCCAGACAGGAGGGTAAGTGTGTCACCGGCCTTCTGTTCTAGCTGGCTCTATGCTCCATGTGACATAGTCCCTATGATCCATGTCACATAGTCTGTATCCTGTCCACCTGTGCTCTGTGTGACATGGTCTTTATCCTGTCCCCCTATGATTCCTGTGACATGGTCCTATCCTGTCACCCTGTGCTTTGTGTGGCATGGTCTCTATCATGTTCCCCTATGATCTGTGTGACATGGTCTCTGTCCCAGTTCCCACATGTCTATTTTTACTTGACTCTAGTTTAAAGGAGGCAAACATATGTGTTAAAGTTAAATGACTGGCCCACTAGACTGGTGAATCCCTGTAACCCTAGAATTTAGGAACTGGAGCCAGAAGGATCACGTTTGATGTGGGCTACAGGCCAGGCTGCAAAGTGAGTTACCAATAGCCTGAGCTGTGGAGATTGTGTCAGAAACAAAGCAATGCAAAAAGGAAAAAGACCCAATTTTCAAAAAGCTTGGAAAATGCAGAAGACCTTATAATGGGGTATGTGTAGGAGGTGTGTGCACACTCAAACTTCAAAGTTCTGCTCCATAGGCACCTGGAATTTACAGAACAGAGGTGGACTGGAAGACACTTTTAAAGCTTAGGGCTAATAAGGGTCAGAGGGTCAGAACTGCCAGTTAACAAATGGCCGAGAGGCCTAGTATGTTAGGAAGCTGACACTGAAAATCATAGCATAACTTAGGTTATCTTTGGACTGCATGTGATGGGGGGGAAGAGGAAGAAGGAAGAAGAGAAGAGGGGTAGAGAGGGGGGAGAGGAGGGAGGGAGATAAGAAGGGAAGGAGGAACGTAGGCAACCCTGCAGTAGTGGCAGGAAGCAGTGCCATCCTTGGGAAGAGAAATCCGGCAGATGTACACACATTTAATGTGCACACACTTTCCAACCTAACAGCCTGCAGAAGCTCCCATTGAATCCATAAGGGGATGTGTATAAGGACCTTATTATTATTCATGAGGATACAAAGTTTAAGATAAGCTGGTGCCTGTAACTGGGGAGTGGATGTGGGATGGATGTATCCATGGAGACGGTAGGGAGAAGTCCTGGACTAGATGCACTCCCAGCAGGGAGTCAGAGGAATATTTAAAAACAGAGGGCTGAATGTAAAGCAACAGCAACCACAAAAACAGGGAAAACTAAAAAGCTACACAATCCCGTGGCATTGAGGCAAATTCAAGATATACACACATAAAATGGCAATTCACATTTGGGCAAGACACACAAAAGCAATATTCTCTCTAAGCAATGAGGGTGTGGGTCCCCCACTGGGGAAGTGGGGTATGGGGATAAATGAGGGGAGCAGGGGGACAAACAAGACAGAGGGTCTTTCATGTGCCAGTGAGGAGTGTGAGTTAAGACCACACTTCTGGTTCTTGTTGAGAATGGCCAGGGGAGAAGGATAGCAGTAGCTGTCATGCTAGTCACCTAGCCAGACAATACCATGTCACTGAATACTCAGTCACTTCAAGGCAAGGGACACAGTTGTCTTTTATTTCACTATTTTAAAATAAGCCCCGAAATGAAATTTCAGAGCGATTAAGCTACACTGCCTGGGAAGCAGTAATATTTTCACATGAGGGGGGATGAGCTCCCCATCCCTGGAGGTATTCAAGCAGAGGCATGGAGAGTCAGGCTTCCTTGTATTGCACAGCCTGTGACTCTATGACACTCAATGTCTTCTATCTTCTGGGCCCTCTTACTTGAGGGGGTTCCCCCTGGATGGTGAAGGCTGGGCAGTCTTTAGGCTGGGAACAATACTCTGGTCCCAGTAAGTCCACCTTCACTAATGTCCTTCTGTCCCTGCTGGCTCACAACCCTGCTGAAGTTTTAGGGACTACATCTCTGGTCTCACATAAGCCAGTGTTTGAGTCCACTGAGGCAGCCTTTCAGACTGTGGCTGGTGAGGGGGTGCTGTGGTGTGTGACACGAGACGGGAAAGGACATTAAAAACCAGCCTCAGGAGTCTCCAACAGGGGCCAACCGGTTCTGAAAGTTTTTTTAGTAGGTTCCGGGAAGTGTCTTCCTGCCTTTACGGGTGCTGACATTTGGCAAGAGAGACTATGAAGTGCCTGGATGGGATGGGGCAGGGGGGGGGGGGGGTGGAGGGGGAGGGTGGGGTGGTTGCAGGGGGTCAGAAAACTTATCCGGCTTGGTGTTCCCCTGGAAGGTTCAGCAAAGTGCCAGGCAGACACTGGGGAAGGGAGAAGCTGCATCTGGATCTGTGCACCCAGAAGACCAGGCAGTAATTAAGGGTGTGCATGGAGAGGAGGGGCCTCCATTGCTTGAGGTACATTGTGAATGACAATTATGGCATTAAGAGCCTGCAAGATCCTATCCCTTCAGATCAGGTGTGCTGACACCAACCCCAGAAGCTGCCCTTTCTATCTCAAGGAAGCCACCATCCGTCGGTCTCACAAACGGGCCTAATGAAGGCAGGCTGCTGGGAGCAGATGCTGAGCCTTCTATGGGAACGCCAAACAAGGCCTAATCATGCCCTGCTCGGCTTCCTCCCTGCTACACGTTCCCAGTGCTGTTTAGAAGAGGCAGTTACAGGGAATCTTTTTTCTCTTAAAGGGGAAGAAAAAGCTACTTCTTCGATATTCATTCCCATCACACAGGGCTCAGGAGAAGGCAGAGGGGATGGAGGATGAACAGGAAATAGGTAGAATTGGAACTGGGCACAGCCTCTACAGGATGGCCTCACCTGCCATCTAGAGTGTAGAGCTTATTACCCACCAGAGGAGGACACACACACATATAAGCTATGTGGAGGAGGTCCTAGGATATGGTGATGGGGGCATAGCCAGTGGGGCAGGGGAGAGGAGCCAGTATGGGGACATGGGAACATAAATGGGCAGAGTAGGTTTCTACCTGGGCAGCTGAGGCTGGACCTCTGGGGTAAAAAGTCAACATTCTTTGGAGGTATTTCATCCAAAGTGAAGGATTCTGGCTATTTGTACCTATGCATTACCGTGGCTCCAGGCTGATCTCGGAGATGGAAGCATTACCTTCCCAGACAACAGGACCTACTACTGGTCCCACAGGGGGCTGTATCACTGCTCCTAGAAAGGATGCTGCTTGGCTTGTTCTGGGCAGGACCACAAACCTGGCCCCGACTTACTGTTTGCTGTGCTGTGTGCCCTATGGATTCAGGTATGCTCAACCCATAGTTGCTGGAGTTGATGTCAAAACTTAACATGTGAAAAAGAAAAAGGCAATAAAATCTGCATGCACTGCTGTGCTCAAGTAACCAATATTTTACAAAATACCCTGCTCGAGTGATATAATTTGAGAACTAGAAATGTGACAAAAGGATTTAGTTGCGATCATTCAAAAAACAGGCGTATTTGCTATGATGCTTACTTTGTTCAGCCAATGAAGAAGACTTAACAAATGGGAAAATAATTACATTTGCCTAAGATGACACCTTTTGTGCATGCTGGAGAGCTGACATGCGTTTCAATTACCTGCCATGGGAAGATGAATGAGTAAACTACACGATTGCATTAGGAGGAGGCAGCCTGAGAAACACCTCTCCAGATTGATTGGGAGCCTGGTGGGAATCGTTGGAATGAATCTGAAGAGCTTACTTTAATTCTGGCTTTCCCAGGAATAACTGTGGGATCTGCTCAGAGCAAAGACCTTCATTTCTTGTCAAGATGCCAAAAAGCAGTGCTGTTACAATTGGTCCCTCCAGTGGGGTGGGCTAACCACATCACTGACCATATTGGGCCAAGGCAACTCTAAAGGATTGTCCAGCCCTGCTCCCCTGTATGGCTACCATCCCTCTCGGTACTGTGTTCTCATGACATGTGGAACATGGTTGGGGTGGTCTCTGAACCCCACCTTGACTCTAGCAGCAGCAACGGTAGCAAAATTCACCAAATGGACTGGTTCTTGCAGAACATTAATTGGTAAATAAAAAGTGTGGGGGGGGGCACAGGGAGAAGGAATGGAGGGTGTAATAAAACAGGGGCTAAGGAGACACACTGGACTAATGTGATTGTTGGACCTTGTGAGGGTTCTCTATTAAACTGTCAGCTTTGAAATGGTTGGAGGACTGATAGATGGGGGAGTGGAAAGACATTCAGAACTGGGAAATGTTCTTGTAGGTACAGTGGCTATGTCAGAAAAAGTCCTCCAGAAGAAATGCACACCCAAGGATTTATATATTGAAATGAGATAATGTTTAGTATTTGTTTT